ATATTAATTGAAATATTTACTCATTGAAACACTATATACATCAAATATTCTTCGAGTGGTCAAATTTGCATTGAGAATTTACTTTGTTCTGTAATTGAGATATGCTCGAAATCGAACTACCAAATATTTTGATGATTGCTGGTATGTAACCACTACCAAACATTCTAGTGTTCTGACCAGTCGAAGTTAGATTGTCACTAAGATTTTTCTTGCTCGCTATTTCAGCACCAACTTCTAAGTTGGAAGTTTTATTTGAATCCTCTGTAAAACATTGTGATGATTCTTGTATTGTTGAACCGTTTTCGCCCGAACCTTCCGTGTTATCAACTTTGATATCTGACTCTACGGTAGGTAAATTATTGACTTGTTTTACTTCCAACTCATGTGATTTCTCTGCATTTTCAGAACTGTCATTAGCCACCTTACTGGAATCGAATTTGTAAGCCTCGTTCCTCTGTGCTAGCTCGATGACTGTGAAACTTTGGTACCTTAACAACATAGGTTTATCATTATTTTTTGTTTCGAAATAAACTGCGAAACTCTCGTGCCTTGGAATCGTTTCCGCCTGCATATTATTTGTAACCGTCTTGGTAAGTTTCTGGGGTATGCTGGTTTCCTTTCCTGTTTCAACTTTGTTGTCTACGTACAATTCGGTTGCTGCACACTTTTTTGATGAGTTGACCAGCGAAATTCCATCTTCGCCGGGAGCAATGTCCTTTGACACCGATTTTTCGTTACCAGACGTATCACTAGATCCCTTAGCAATTTCACCGTTGTCGCCAAGCGGTGCCGTTGATGGGGTTCATTGGCTGATGAGTCAACATTAATGACTCCTGAAGACTCTCATTCTCCGTTGCCATGTGCATTGACTTTCATTGTCTCTACTCTTTCCGCAAGTAAAATCTAGCCCCTTTTTTTCCATTTCATAAATTATTTTCAGAGTAAATAATAATTGTCGCCACCTGGTGTCCTCGGAAAATCCTCCTCTACGTTTCAGCAACTTTGTCATGTCGCCTGATCGATTCAAATTTTCCTCAGTAAAATTTGTAAAACATCGAATTATAAAAAAATCCTACTTCTTTTTTGATCGAACTGTCGTTTTGTCACCTTCAGTTTGAGTCTGAAAGAAAAAATAAAATAAAAGGAATAAGTTGAAGGAGGAGTAGGAAAAAAAGAAAAAAAAAAACTTTCAAGTATGCATAAAATAACTACCACTAAGGTCTCTGTCTCAGTAATTTCGAGTGAGCCTTCACGTTCCCTCTTACGTTTACACCCTTTACATATTTAACACTTGTCTTTCATTCACATTTCAGCATTCACTTTCTCAACGTGCAAGAGCTTAGGCCAATATATTAAAAGCAAGACAATTTAATAAGTAAAAAAAATAATTTCAATGTTTAATAGTTGTCTACCAAGCACAGAATTTATAAAGTAAAACACAAAGTTTCTGATTTTTTTTGTCTTACCTTTCCCAAATTTGTATTCGTGGTCCCAAATCCAAAATTGGTCTATCATAATAAAGCCCGCTATACTATATACAGTATGTATTAACATTTGCATATATTGCTATACGTACTATGAAACGAAAAAATAAAGATAAAAAACAAAAAGGCTTGCTGACGGCAATTCAGAAGAAAGAGATATGTCTTGTGTTAATTCAGAAACCACGACCTAAACAAAATAACTTGGCGGAGCAGTATGGAGTCGCGCAAAATACAATATCTGATATTTGGTGCAATAAAAATAAATGGCTTTCTATCGATGATGATACATCTTTATCTAAGAAAAAGAAAATCTGACCCTTATCCTATCCCCAAATTGAATCTGCATTAGCTATCTGGCTTAATATAGCAGTTAATAACCATATTACTATCACTACTGATGTTCTTATGCAGAAAGCAAAGGATTTTGCTGTTCACTTTGACATTAATTATTTTACAGGATCAGCTGGCTGAATCTCAGGTTTTAAACATCGTTATAATGTACAGTCATACTTAAAATCTGGTGAAGGGGACAGTGCTCCTCAAGAAAGTCTTAAAGAAGAACGTGCAAAGTTGTATGACATAATAAGTAATTATGATTACCAAGACATATTCAATTGCGACGAAACTGGTAAGTATTTATATTAATTTATTCTTACCAGCTATTATTTACAGGTTCTATTGTGTAGCATTACATTGGCAATTGGAACCTGATCGAAGTTTGGCAACAAAACCATTAAAAGATACCAAGAAGTCTAAAAATTGTGTGACAATTCTGTTGACGTGTAATGCATTAGGAACCGAGAAACTTCTTCCATTGTTTATTTACAAGCATAAAACTTCTCGCCCACTTCATGGAATTGATAAAAGCTCTCTAGCAGTTGAATATTATTGGAATTCCACAGCCTGGATGCAAACTAGCCTTTTTAATAATTATCTTAAAAATCTTAATAGTTTAATGAGAAGACGCAATCGTAACATTTTGCTTTTAATTGATAATGCTCTGACACATGTAATTTCAAATATCGAAAATCTAACAAATATTAGGCTTCATTATTTGCTGCCTAATACGACTGCACATCTGCAGCCATGCGATGTGGGCATAATCCATTCTTTAAAAGTAATGTTAATTTAATTATTATTATTAATTTAAATATAAACTAACTTAATTAATTAGTATTTAGGCACAATATCGATGATTATTAGTGAGAAATAGAATTGATGCATATGAACGATCTACCGAACTTCAAACAACCATTACGCCGGTTAACATTTTGGATGCAATTAATTTTTGTGTCAAAGCATGGAAATTAGTTAAGGAAGATACAATTAAAAATTGTTGGCGTAAAACTGGTATTCTATCAGATTCAAGGGAACTGTCAACAGAAATTGAATCAGATTCAGATGAACTGTCAGCAGAAATCAAATCAGATATTGAGAATGTTCAACGATTAATTGATAAACTAGACTTTAAAGAACCAATGATGGCAGAAGAATATATTAACATTGATGATAATGTAATGACTGAAGGCGGTCTAACAGATGAAGAAATTGTGGAAATGGTATGCCCTTCTAATGAAGAACCCGAAGAAGTTAATAATAAAATAACAGTTTGAACTATTGTATCGGTTAAAGAAGTGTTAGGGGTGTTAGTAATGCAATAGAATTTTTAATAAATCCTCCTGAGGATTTTACTTCTGATGTTAAAATGATATTAGAATTGCGTAAAGTACAAAGTCAATTGTGGACTTATTATATGT